CAAATACAATTTTGTCATATGATTGTTTTAATGATATTTCTAAATGTTGTTGCTACTCTTACAGCTTGCATAACAGATTTTCAATGTATCAGGTTGTTTCCTTACACAGCATTTAATTTTGTTCATTATGTTATCATGATATTTCTCAAAACTCTCTTGACACCAGAGTTCATTATGTTGTCATGATATTTCTCAAAACTTCCTTGACACCAGAGTTCATTATGTTGTCTTGATATTTTTGAAAAACTCTCTTAGCCTCAGAGTATACAATCTAGTCTCGATGTTCCTGAAAATCACTTGGCACCAGAGTTCATAACAAAATCTTGATGATGTTGAGAACCTCTTTGCAGCAGAGCATGTCATTAAACTTTAATGTTTCTGAAAAACTTTTAGCACCAGATTCATGTATTAAAGTTTGATGTTTCTGAGAACCTCTTAGTATGAGAATATTTGATGAAATCTTGAATTTTTTCAGACTTTCTTAGCACCAGAATACATGTATTGATATTATAATTATCAAAACAATGTACATAATATAAAAATGTGCAAATTACTTTTACAAAATTAAACTGGCTTATTGTTCAATTACTTATTGAAAGGTATTACCTGTTTACAAACATGAAATGAAACAAACCTTCAGGGTATTCAGTTTATCCAGTGCTTTCTCATAAACTTCTTTCCAGCTTGTTTCAAGATTAAAAACTTCCCTTTCTACAAAGCTGGGAACTGATGGAACATTCTTTAGTTCTTTTCCTTTGCTCACACTAGCTAAAATAGCAGGCTGCTGTTTTTCCAACTCTCCAACTAAAGCCTGTTGAAAACCAAACACCACAGGTATAAATAGAACTATTACTAGACCTAACAACCAGTTGAAAACTAACAATACACTTGTAAAGAGAACAGTATTACAAGACCTAACAACCAGTTAAAAACCAAAAACCACAGGTATAAATAGAAGTATTACTAGACCTAACAACAAGTTGAAAACTAACAATACACTTGTAAAGAGAACAGTATTACAAGACCTAAAAACAAGATGAAAACTAACAATACACTTGTACAGAGAACAGTATTACAAGACCTAAGAACAAGATGAAAACTAACAATACACTTGTACAAAGAACAATCTTACTAGACCGAACAACAAGATGAAAACTAACAATACACTTGTACAGAGAACAGTATTACGAGACCTCACAACCAGTTGAAAACTAAACAATACACTTGTACAGAGAACATTCTTACTAGACCTTACAACCAGTTGAAAACTAAACAATACACTTGTACGGGGAACATTCTTACTTGACCTCACAACCAGTTGAAAACTAAACAATACACATGTACAGAGAACATTCTTACTTGACCTCACAACCAGTTGAAAACTAAACAATACACTTGTACAGGGAACATTCTTACTTGACCTAACAATCAGTTGAAAACTAAAAATACACTTGTACAAAAAACAATCTTACTAAACCTCACAACCAGTTGAAAACTAAACAATACACTTGTACGAAAAACAATCTTACTAGACCTCAAAACCAGTTGAAAACTAAACAATACACTTGTACAAAAAACAATCTTACTAGACCTCAAAACCAGTTGAAAACTAAACAATACACTTGTACGGAAAACAATCTTAC